TGACTACTATATCAGAAGACATACATTTTTACTTCAAGTGTTTTCTCTTCTCAATAATAAACTTTGCTTCCCACCCAAACATTACTTTTAAGTTAGAAGAGCAGACTCTGGATCTAGCTGGCTCGGTCATTTACTAGCTGTACAACTTTGGGCTAACAAGTTACTTCAACTTCTTTTTGCTTCAAATCCTTATTTATAATTTCGAGGTTGTTGGAAAGTTGATGATTAAATGAGTGAATATATGTAGTGTTAAAAATAGTTGCCAGGATGTTTTCCCCTGAGGGAAAGAAAAGAAAAGTACGTGCCAAAAGTGTGTATTCAATCAGTGTTAAGAATAAAATGTTTAATAGATGGTGAGAATAAAACAATAGGGGGAAGAGAAAATTTCAGACCAAATACGCTGAGAAAACTACTCACTAGTACCCAAAACCAGAATACAAAACCACTGCAAACCCAGCATACTTAGCTCAATTTTTATAATACGATAAATATATACTAGAAAGAAAAAAAGGACAGGAAACAAACTATCTGAAAAGTTAATATTCAACGAGGTCGGAAGGGAATTCCCAAAAAGCACAGAATCACCTATGAAGTTAGCCTCCTGACTCCCCTTCCCCCAAAATCAATCTCAATCTAAGCTTCTACATCTAACTACCAATTTACAGGAAATCAAGAAAATCTAGAATATGGGAAACTCTGCAAGACAAATGACCTGGTTTCTTCAACAAAGTGCAGAGAAAAAGAGAAGAAACATACAAATTAAGAGGCTTGAAAGAAAATCAGTCAATTACAGTGTGTAGGGCCTGGGTTCTGCTTAAAAACAAAAAACAAACAAACAAAAACTAGGAAAGTCAACAGAAACATTGAATCTAAGAAAGAAAAACAGAGCAAAAAACTCCATGTGCAATGATCTGTTCTGATTTCACTCCATTGGTAAATGGATGTACATTAAAGATAATTTCAGACAATTTATATTTAACAATTATGAAGTGCTTGCTATTGTCAGGCATTGTTTTAAGAACTCTACAGATATTTTATTTGTTAACCTCAATAACCCTATGAGAAGGTACCACTTTCCCCATTTAACAGAGGAAGAAACAGGCACAGAAACCTTACCTAAAACTCTCCCCAAGTCATAAAGCTATCAAGTGACAATGCTGAGATTCAAACTCAGGCTATAAAGTTGGTACCCTTAATTACTATATCATACTATCTGTCTACATGATGTAGTGGAAACAGCTCTTTGGAATCAGATAAAACTCCCTGAATACCCATCTCTCCTTATGTCATATCAATTATTTATTTAACTTCTCAGAACCTCTGTACACTCACTTGTAGAAGAGAAGGGCACCATACATAGTTAAGGAATAGAGAGATTATATATTGGACTATATTATAGGCTTTAGCTTATGAAACCCACAATAATGGTTCTCACTACCCTTCCCATCATACCTGCAGAGACTAATTAAAAAGTCGAGCTAATAATTCATAAACACATAGCAGAAACACTGGAATAGCTCTACCTTTTAATTAACTAGCTAAAGAGCACCCAAACCAACTTTTCAAGATACTTATAAATATAAACTTTAAGAATAGCAATAATTCAAAAAGGAATATTTTACATAATAAAATTTAAACTTATAATGAGCAGAAACCAGAGTTTGCAATCTAAATTTAAAGTATAGCCAAACTTAAATTAATTAAAAAAAATTTTGAAAACAAACAAAACTTATTCCACATAAATAGACCTACTGCTCAGAAATGTGCACTAAAATTTTGTTTATGCTGGTGATTCTTTAGCCTGATGTCTGGTTAATATAAGGCAAAATGGTTTTATCACAGAAAAGGAAGGTAGCCCTAACTGGTTTGGCTCAGCGGATAGAGTAATGGCCTGCGGACTGAAGAGTCCTGGGTTTGATTCCAGTTAAGGGCACATGCCCAGGTTGCTGGCTCGATCCCCAGTAGGCTGCATGCAGGAGGCAGCCGATCAATGATTCTCTCTCATTATTGATGTTTCTCTCTCTCTCTCCCTTTCCCTTCCTCTCTGAAAAAAAAAAAAAATGTATTTAAAAAAGAAAGAAAAGGAAGGTAAATTTAATTAATATGTTAAAAAATCAACTTGAGCCCTGACCGGTTTGGCTCAGTAGATAGAGCGTTGGCCTGCGGACTCAAAGGTCCCAGGTTCAATTCCGGTCAAGGGCATATACCCAGTAGGGGGTGTGCAGGAGGCAGCTGATCAATGTTTCCCTCTCATCGATGTTTCTAACTCTCTATCCCTCTCCCTTCCTCTCTGTGAAAAAATCAATAAAATATAAAAAAAAAATCAACTTGAAAGACAGCTATGTTGTTAAACTATGAATATTTTTGTGTTTATTTGTTATACCACCAAGTTCTTTGGTGGCAGGAAATGTTTTAAGGTCATCTAGGTATTCCTAGCACCCAGCATGCTGATACTGGCACCATACATAGTTCACCCTCTTGCAGTACTACTACTTCTTCTTTTTTTTTAAATTTATTGGGATTACATTTGTTAATTACATAGGTTTAAGGTGTACAATTCTCTAATACATCATCTGCATATTGCACTGTGTTCACCACCCCAAGTCATGTGCTTCTGCATTTCTTAAAAAGGAGAATAATTGACCTGTTCTGTCTAAAAAATGAAAAATAGCCCTGTCTGGTTAGCTCAGTTGGTTAGAGCATCATTCCGATACACCAAGGTTGTGGGTTCAATCCCAAGTCAGGGCACTTACAAGCATCAACCAATGAATGCACAATTACTAAAGTGAAACAACAAATGGATGTTCCTCTCTCTCAAAAAAATAAAAAGATAAAAGAAAAGAAAAAAGCCCTAGATGTTTTGGCTCGGTGCATAGAGCATCAGTCTTCAGACTGAAGGGTCCCGGGTTTGATTCCGGTCAAGGGCACATGCCAGGGTTGTGTGTTCGATCGGGGCGGGGGCATGCAGGAGGTAGCCTATCAATGATTTTCTCTCATCACTACTGCTTGTTTCCCTTTCCCTTTCTATTCCCCCCCCCCTCCCTCCCTCCCTCTTCCTCTTTGGGGAAAAAAAAAGCAACAAAAAGAATTAAAAAATAAATAAAATAAAAAATAATTTGTCCAAAAGATCAATTAAAGGCTGATTATTTGCTTCAGTAAAGGAAAATAACTATTAGAATCCTTTAAATATATCTGCCTAATTTATTTGAAATCACCTATAGAAATCCAATTTACATAACAATAGCAATATTTTACCTCTTTAGTTAAGATATACTTTTGGACAATAAACGATTAGCTGTGCTTATTGAACTATTGAAGTTTGACTATAGTCAGTTTTGTTTTGAGCAGACTTCAGCGGGAAATAAAATTCAGAATTTGATTAATAGTTATTTCTGAGGCAGTATTATCTATGCACCACATAGAATTTTTTACCAGCCATTTGAAAAACCATATATACACACACACCAAAATTTATCTTTTCTATGGACTACTTTTCCAGCTGATCCTTTAAAATTTTGTGTGTTCTCATCTTTCCAATAGCATAGGTTTAAATACTAGCTGGATGAGTCTCTGGGCTTTTTTTCCTCAACTAAAAAATGAGGGGTAAAACAATATTTACCTCATAGGAATAATAAAGTAATAAATGTAAAGCACTTCAAGGAGGAGTCAGTTCCTGGCACATTAGAGTTATCACTGTTATTAAGTGTATACATTTTAACCATAAAACATATGCAATCTGCTGAAGTCTGATTCAGAATTGTGTTTTATCTTTAACTGAGCATTTGAAAATGAATTTGTAAGCAGAAATGTGCCCCAGATCTCTTACTATTCCAAACTTATTAAAATTGTTGCATGTGCCCCCTCCTTAGCCAAGTTTTTAAACAGCCACTGATAGAGAAAACTAGTTGAAATCACTCAAAATAAAAAAGGCTTCATAACAACCCGCCCCCCCCGCCAAATTTCAAGAGCTCTGATAGCATACTATCCAGCATCAATTGAAAGAATATATCACCATATACAAACCATTTGAGTACCCTGAAAAAAAAATTACAATAAGGTCGCATCTAACTTTACGGGGTCCAGTAGGAAACGATGACAAAAAAACCAAACTGACTTGTAATTTCTATAAAGCACTTTAAATGTTTTTCTTTTTTTGTAAAACCACCAAAATAAGAACAAAAAATCCTAAAAAATAAATGTTTGTATTGAAAGAATGTAGGAAGGTAAATTGACACTGACTCTCTCGTGGGGGGGGGGGGGACAGCTTATTTAACTATTAATTCCAAAGTTCTCATTCACATTAGCATTTTATTATCGTTTAGACAGTTTACAATTCGAAACTCAAGCACCTTCCCAAACACTTAAGTTAACTGTTTCTGGTTTATATTCTCTGCCTTTTTGTTTTCAGTTATACTTCTGGATCTTATAGTAAAAAAAAAAAAAAAAAAAAAAAAAGAGCAAACAAAAAGACAGGCTTTTGTCTAAAAGGGCACAACCACCAGGCGCTCCACGGCTGAAGTTTGGTTTCACTTGTCTTCACTCCTCTAATGAACGACCCAAACTTAACAGCACGCAGGTTCCCTTTCGGGTTATTACACAGAAAAGACCTCGGAAAAGCCAGCGGCCCGGACCCCAGGGCTCGGCGCCCCGAGGACACCCGTCACTGTACTCGGGAAGGGATGACACGGAGAGCGACTCGTTACTAAACCAAAACATGAACCACCCACGGACTCCGTTTTTTCCGAAGCAATAAATCATATCAAAGAGCAAGTTATTTCAACCAATATGACAAACCAACCTCAGAGCACAAAGTTGGAAGATAAAATTACCACCACGGCACAATTTCAAAACTATAAGCAATGACAACACACAACCCCCGCACCCGCTCTTACGTAAACTTTTGGAGTAAGCAAACTTCTTTGGCCTCACGTTTGTTTTCACCTACCGAGGCCTTTTCAAGATAAGACATCAATTTACAAGACAACCGAAAGATCAAAAGATTAAGCTGTCCCCGTAGGAGAAACAACTAAAAATGTAAGACGATTTAACGTATTTTAAGTTACCGAAGCTCAGGGCACTTCCCCAAGCTACAGCCATTTTAGATTCAGCGTTTCTTTTGAATTTCACCGGGGGCGTGGGGTCTGTTTGTGTGTGTTAGAGGTAGATTTAAAACAGAAAAAAACAAAAACAAAAAAACCCCCACAAAACATCCTCCTCATACTTCAAGATCTACCAGCTTTTTTCCGAGGGTCGTGATGGTAGGTGCTCAACCAAGGAAAACACCCCGCTGCCAAGGAGAACCAGAACGTTGGGGGTTAAAGGTTTTTCCCCCTCACACACACCGCATTTGACTAACACGATTATTTCCTCCTTATTATTTTCCTTCACTGGAAAAAAGCCCTTGGCTCTCCTCTAAGAAGAAAAGGAAACCCGTAAACCAAGTCACTCCACCGCCAGGCGGAGACGCCTGGAGAGGAGCCCGAGAGCCGCAGGTGAGCGTTG